AAAAATTCAAAAAGGTTACCAACTGTGGCAAGTTGTGGCTAGACTGGAAAGGACAGAAGCTGTATGTGGGTAGATGAGACAGGTAGCTCCACAAGACAAGCTCCTTGAAATCAAAGGCTGGATGGAGAGATAGGCGATAGTGGTGAGGAACAGAGGTAGTTGCAAATATTTCTGCTATGAATGTTTAGTCTGAGAAATGAAGAAAGTGGTGCCATGTGCACCATCATCTTACAACATGCGGGCAGGAGTGAGAGCTAATAATGTGCTCAAGGAAGGTGGAGTATCTCGAAGAATAGATGAAATATTTTCCTCACATTAAAAAAAAAAAAAAAAAAGTAAGCTGGGCAAAGTGGCACACTGTAGTCCCAGCACTTGGGAAGTAGAGGCAGGCGGATCTCTGTGAGTTCAAGGCCAGCCTGGTCTACGTAGTTCCAGGACAGCTGGGGCCACAGGGAGACCCTGCTTCGAAAAGTCCAAAAAAAAAAGACAGGACTATCCCTCCTTCCTTCCCCTTGCTCTGTAGCTCAGGCTGGTCTCAAACTCTGGACCTGGGCCTGACACGGTGGCACAAGCCTTTAATCCCAGCACTCAGGAGGCAGAAGCAGGCCCATCTCTATGAGATGGAGGCCAGTCTCCACTTGACTACATAGCGAGTTCCAGGCCAGCTGGGGCTATGGGGAGACCCTGTCCCGAAAAGACGAAAGAAGAAAGAAGAAAGAAAGAAAGAAAGAAAGAAAGAAAGAAAGAAAGAAAGAAAGAAAGAAAGAAAGAAAGAAAGAAAGAAAGAAAGAAAGACAAATCAACTCTGGACTCTGCCTCAGGTCCGGGTGCCAGGGTCACACACTCCCCTTCTTTTAAGTGGTAATGTAAAAGCACTTTATTTCTATTGATTCAGGCACAAAACAATTATAGTTAAATTTTCAAGTATTAAATTGTAGTACACATTTGTAATCAGAAGTTTAGGGTTTAATAAAATCAATACTTGGTTCTATTTAGTATATTATCAAAAATATATTTTCCTTAATTATTACACTAAAGATGAACTATAAAATACTATTAAAATATTTTACTATACAATATATATAAAAGAGCAACTACACTATATAATGCAGAGATACAATTTCAGAAAAAATAGGTTTTTATTTAAAATTTATCTTGGTGGTACACGCCTTTAATTCCCCCACTCCAGAGACAGAGTTAAGCAGATCTCTGTGTGATCCAGGTCAGCCTGATCTATATAGTGACTTCTTCCAGGCCAGCTGTTACTACAAGGAGACCTTGCCTCAAATAAAAGAGTCTTATTTACTTCTGAAAACTATGCAAAAAATGAAAAATAAAATGAAGGCACTAGATGGTTTAGCCTTTAAAACTGTTCTCTAGTGAAATAACAGATTCCTACCTAACAAATTTTGGGAACAGAACATCCTGCTGCACCTTCTTTAATGAAATACTAAAGCTTTTGTATAAGATTTACATTTAAATTAAATGCAATTGTGGATTTGGCCCAAAGTCACAGCACTATACTAAAGCACTGTTAGACTGTAATGGTATACACATGTCTTTTATAGAGAGAATTTCTTATTTCCTCAGAGGGGCTACAGGCTCCAATTCCAAAGCTTCTTTTAAATCAAGAATTATGTGAATTGATACATGTTTGGTTTCCAAAGAAATGGACAAAGTATACTTCATTCTTCCCTCCAATAGGTAAGAATGTCTTCTTCAGTTTAACAATAGGACAAAAGGTTTTTGCTTTTAAAAAAACTGAGCTGTTTTAAAAACTCTATCCCAAGTTACTCTTCTATATATTTATTTCACTCAAACCATAGTATTAATATTAAGTCTTTAAAGAATTACTTACCCAATGAAAGTGACCATCTGCTCCACTATATGCTTGCTGAATGTTATTACAACAAAAATTTTCTGTAAAGAAAACATCAGTAAAATAAATATGTAGTCACTTAAAAGACCCACTTGTAAATTCAAAATTCTGGTAATAGTCTGAAAAGGTGATGTCCTGCCCTTAGCAATAATTTTAGTATTTCTTTTTTTTTTGGTCTTTTTGAGACAGGGTCTCCCTGTAGCCCCAGCTGTCCTGGATTCACCATGGAGACCAGGCTGGCCTTGAATTCACAGAGATCTGCCTGCCTCTGCCTCCCGAGTGCTGGGATTAAAGGCATGCACCACCATGCCTGGCCTAAAAGATACCATTTTAAGGATGCTTTTCCTTAAGCACAGCTGGAGTCTTCCTAGGATACAGGACTATGTCTCAGAGAAACTGTGAGTCATGAAACCCGAGACTGGGAGGGAATGGTCCTTGCTCTGCTCTGCTTACTAGTGCATAGCTGAAGTCACGGGTTCCCATACAGCTCCCATCACAGAACCAGAGCTGACTGCTCACAGTAGGGTCTGCCCTAAATCTAATCCAGAGGTCTTAAAAGACTTCTTTTTTTTTTTTTTTTTTTTTTTGACACTGCATGTTACCATTTATTTATATATTTAGTGAATTACATATTCAGTGAATATTTCTATCTGTCTGGCTAAGTTACAAAAATCAGATATTTATTGTCTCAATGTTCTGCAGTTGGGAAGTCTGAAGTCAAGGGATTAGCATCCAGAGAAGGACCTTCTTACTACATCCCATGACAAAATGACTCTACATGAGGCTCTGAAGACTTAGGTAGACAAGGGCCATCCCACCATGTGTCTTTTTTTTGTGGTCCTTTTCTTCCAGTAGCCCCAGCTGGCCTGGAACTCACTATACAGACCAGGCTGGTCTTGAATTCACAGAGATCCACCTATCTCTGCTTCCCAAGTGTTGGGATTAAAGGTGTGTACACTACACCCACCCAGCTATGACTATCTGTCTTTTCAGAGTTTTATAACACTGGGAAGTTCCTAGAACCTAAACAAGCCTGGTCTACATAGCCAGTTCCAGACCAGCTGGGGCTACAAGGAGACCCAGTCTCAAAACTAACAGCAACAACAAAAATAAAACAAGAAAAGATGACTTTAGGGCTGAAAGATAGCAAATATTCTCTGGTAGACTGAACAAATGTGAACATAAAGTACTTACTATGGATAATACAGGGCAATGTTAAGTGTTTTTTGGGAAGCACAGCGGTAAGAAGGACACTTCTACATATGGTAGAAAAATGCTAAGTACAGTAACACACACACTAGACATGTACTATAAATATCACTAAAAAAAATGTCATTAAAAGAAAAAAGCCAACAATGGGTCATGGAAGTAGAGAAAAAGGAAAGGTCACATCTCACTATATGATGATTAGAGATTCCAAACTTTCAATTTAACTTTAGCTTTCAAGGACGGATTCTTAAAATCCTGGATTCTCTGCAAATTCCTGATAACAAATTCTTTAGTGTTCTGTTACTGTTTGTTAAATAATTACTCTAGTCAATGTAATCAAAAGGGGGAGGGAATAGAAATAAAATAAACAAAAATAGTCTTTGTATTCACTCATTATGAATTTGTGAAAAGTATGTAGGTTAGATGAAAGCAGAATATTTCAGATAGAAGACTAGTAAGGAAAAATTATATAAATGGTATAAGAACATTGTGAAGCTGACAGGACAAGTACTAAAAAAATTTAGGGGGGAAGCACAAAAATATGGGGTCCATACCAAAAATCAATTATTTGGAGCTATAAATCTTTCACTATTGGAGCTAGAGAGATGGCTCAGTGGTTAAGAGCACTGACTGCTCCTGCAGAGGACCCGGGTTCAATTCCCAGCACCCACATGGTGGCTACGAACCATCCTTAACTCCAGTTCACTCTTCTGACCACCACAGCATTGCATGACATGGGTGCACGTGCCACATACATGCAGGCAATACACCCGTACACATAAAAAATAGTAATAAATAAAATACTAAAAACTCTTTAAAAAAATCTTTCACTATTAGACAGAAATAATGTTTTTTTGACTTTCAGTGATTTCAACATTAGGAGCTTTCCCTGCTATCATTTCCTAACATTCAAAATAAGGCAATACCCAATAATTGCACAATTTCACTGCTTGAGAAACAAAACAAAAATTTCTTTTCATATGCAACAACTTAAAAATTCACTGTACTGAGCAAGACATAAAATGTGTCCACCATTTAAGAACACATGTCTCAGAGTCTTTAAGGCTGGAGGTCTAAGTGGAGATTCTACAAAAAAAACCAAAAAGTGCAGACCACTGACCAGCTTTCCAACCCATGTGCAGGCAGGAAACGAGGGAAATAGCTGAGCAGGGAGGGAATGGCTGAGTAGGGAGTAACGGGAATTGAGGGTGCCAGAATGAAGAAAGAAGAGACCACCTGCTAAAGAACAGCTTTCCACTGGAAAAAAGAATCTTAGACTCAGTCATCAGATATTTGGCGTGTGCTTACTACTTGCCAGAGGCTATTATATAGGCATTAGAAAACCTCAGTTAACCAATAAATAGAACTTTCTGATCTGTGGCTCCAGGTATGTGTGCTATTCCATGGGGTGGTAGATAGGCAAGAGACAATACTCAGGTTAAGAGGAATACAGATAAGCACATTATCTTTCTCCATTGTTTGGGAGCAGGATAATGTCTCTAAGAATGCTTCTCCATGAGGAAGAGCTGAATCTATCTAGTGGACAGGAAAATTCTGATCTAACTTTGTGGGTGGGCTGACAGATAGTAAGACATTAATAAAAAGCAACACATTGGGAGGCTGTCTAATTTTAAGCTGAGAAAAAAAGAGATGAAAGAAAAGCAAATGAAGAGATAGATTTTAATAAAATACAGAAAAATTTGTGTGTGGGTGTTTCCCTGTGTTTTAGAACTGGCCAAATTGTTTATATTACTCATTAATACTGCTTACTCAAGAAATGAGAAAGGCTTGTTACCCTAAGCTACATCTGGATGTACATCAAGTGACATGCCTTTATAAAGTATGTCATTATTGGGGCTGGAGAGATGGCTCAGTGGTTAAGAGCACTGACTGCTCTTGCAGAGGAGCCGGGTTCTATTCCCAGCACCCACATGGCAGCTACAAACCATCCTTAACTCCAGTTCCAGGGGAATCCGAAGGCCTCTTCTGACCTCCGAGGCATTGCATGACATGGGTGCACTCACATACATGCAGGCAATACACTCATACACATAAAATAAAAATAATAAAATATTTTTTTAAAAAGTATGTCATTATGATACAATGGAAAAGCAAACATCCCATGGCCAGAATTTAGTAAAGGAACTCAGATTCCTGCCTTCCAGAAACGTTAAGTGGATTTTAGTTTTCTTTTTTTTTTTAAATTTATTTTTATTTTATGTGTATGAGTGTTATGCCTGCATATTTGTAAGTGCACCCAGTACTGCAGTGCCCATGGAGGACAGAACAGGGTGTTGTGTCCCCTGAAACTGGAGTTTCAGACTGTTGTTAGTCACCATGTGGGTACTGGGATTTGAACCCAGGTCCAGCACTCTTAACCACTGAGCCATTTCTCCAGCCCCCAGTTTTCTTTCTTTTTTTTTGTAATATTTTATTTGAGCCAGGTGTGGTGGCACATGCATTTAATCGCAGCAGAGGCAGGCAGATCTCTGTGAGTTCAAGGCCAGCCTGGTCTACATAGCGAGTTCCAGGCCAGCTGGGGCTACAGGGAGACCCTGACTCAAAAAGACCAAGAAAACTTTTTTTATTTAATAAAATATTTTATTTATTATTTTTTTTAATGTGTATGCATGTATTGCCTGCATGTAGGTAAGTGCACCCATGTTGTAGAGGACAGAAGAGACTGTTGGAGCCCCTGGAACTGGAGTTATGGACAGTTGTTAGCTGCCATGTGGGTGCTGGGATTTGAACCTGGGTCTTCTGCAAGAACAGTGTTCTTAACCACTGAGCCATCTCTCTAGCCCCTAGAATTCCATTTTTTTTTTTTTGGTCTTTTTGAGACAGGGTCTCTCTGTAGGCCCAGCTGTCCTGGAACTCACTATGTAGACCAGGCTGGCCTTGGACTCACAGAGATCCGCCTGCCTCTGCCTCCCGAGTTCTGGGACTAAAGGTGTACGCCACTACGTCCGGCTAGAATTCCATTCTTAAGGCAGGCATTTTTTCCTTCTTTAATACAGTTTGCTCCTCTGTAAGGGTATACAATAACTGCCTCAGACCACCACTGTGACAGTGAGATGGTAAGTCTCCTGTCAGCGGCCTTGGGAATAGCAGACCTTAAACAGTCTCTTTTCCATAGTCATATCAGTAACTCACTTAAGAAGGCAATGCACAGGAAAGAATACAGGAATGTTGGGCATGGTGGGACATGCCTTTAATTCCAACACTGGGGATGAAGGGGTGAGGGGAGGGAGGATCTCTGTGAGATAGAGGCCAGCTTGGTCTACAGAGCTACACAGTTCCATGTCAGCTGGACTATGGAGATGCTGTCTTAAAAAAAAAAAAGAGGAAAGAAAAAAAAAGAGAAAAAAAAAGGAGAAAGAGAAGACAAAACTTGACCTGTGTTCAAACTTCAGTTCCTAACTTATTCTCTCATAGGCAAGTATCTTATTAAGCACTCTATGACAATCACAGAGAACAGTAATTCCTCTATTGCAGAATTACACTGAGAAGTTAAAAGTGTGAGGCGTTACATTAAAAAAATTAGTATTACCAGTCAGGTGTGGTGGTGCAATGGCTTTAGTCCCAGCACTTGGGAGGCAGAGGCAGGCAGTTCTCTACGCATTCAAGGCCAGTCTGGTCTACATAGTAAGTTCCAGGCCAGCTGGGACTACAGGGAGACGCTGTCTCAAAAAGACTAAAAAAGAAAAAAAAAATCAGTATTATCATATTTTAGAAAAAAAAATCTTCTTAGGATGTTTAAAAATATACTAGTTTTGGGGCTGGAGAGATGGCTCAGCAGATAAGAGCACTGACTGGTTTTGCAGAGGACTCGGGTTCGATTCCTAGCACCCACATGGCAGCTACAATCTGTCCTTAACTCCAGTTCCAGGAGAATCCAAAGCCCTCTTCTGCCTCTGTAGCACTGCACGACAGGGGTACAATCACATACATGCAAGCAATATACTCATACACATAAAATAAAAATAATAAATATTTTTAAAAATATACTAGTTTTGACCTTTTCTGAAATGAAACTTCATATTTATAGAAAGTCATTGCAGTCAAGTGTTACAAAACAGGACAGACAAAAATTTTTAGATTACAAGAAGCTATGATATTATATTTTATTTGGGGGGGAGATTTATTTATTTATTTTTAATCTATTTTAAACATTTTATTTATTATCTTTATTTTATGTGTATGAGTGTATTGCCTGCATGTATGTGAGTGCACCCGTGTCATGCAATGCCGTGGAGGTCAGAAGAGAGCTTCGGATTCCCCTGGAACTGGAGTTAAGGATGATTCATAGCCACCATGTGAGTGTTGGGAATTGAACTTGACTGCAAGAGCAGTCAATGCTCTTAGATGCTGAGCCATCCCTCCAGCCCCTTATTTTTATATTTTATGTGTTTGAGTGTATTGACTGCATGTATGTAAGTGCACTATGTGCTTGCAATGCCCACAGAGGCCAGAAGAGGGCATTGTTGGTGCATGCTGTCAAGTAAATCCATGACCTCTCCAAGAGGACCTGTGCCCTCTCTCCAGCACATCCAACCCCGTTTTTGGAGATAGAGTCTCACTATGTAGCAGTGGCTGGCTTAGAACTTGCTATGTAGACCAGACTGGGCTTGAACTTACAAAGATTCTCCTGCCTCTGCCTCCAGAGTGCTGGAACTAAAGGCACGCACCACCACATCTTGCTAATTATAAGAGAGGTTATTGCAAAAGAAACTGAAATGACCCACTACTGTTTTCCAGGTACTAGCAGACTCAAAAAGCTTCAGGTTAGCTACAGATTCAAAAAGATGAAACTAAAAAGATAAAAACTATTTTGAAAAAAATTACAAAATTATTTATGATTCAATACAATATTTTATTCTTAAACATTTCATTAGAGTATTTAAATTTTTGGTAAGTAGCATTGCAATATTAAAAATCTTGTGTTCACTGAAATAAATACTTAATGTAAATGGGAAGAAATAAATTCCTTGAAGGAGGAAAAACATATTGAATGCTGAGTGGTCATTATGACACCAGAAGATAGGCTCAATAAATCAGGCTCAAATCTAAGATCAGAAACAGGGGAGGTATAAACTATTGAGCTGTTCTGTTTCATTCTCCCCTTTAAGAAGGAAAGGCAGCGGCTGGAGAGATGGCTCAGCAGTTAAGAGCACTGACTGCTCTTGCAGAGGGCCTGGGTTCAGTTCCCAGTATGCACATGACAGCTAACAACTATCCGTAACTCCAGTTCTAAGGGAATCCAATGCCTTCTTCTGGCCTTCATGGGCACTGGACAACACTACATTTATGTAATACACTTGTACTCATAAAATAAAAATAATAAATAAAATTATCTAAAAAAAAAAGAAGCAAAGCTGAGCATGGTAGCGCATGCCTTTAGTCCCAGCATGGAAGGCAGAGGCAGGTGGATCTCTGCCTGGTCTACACAGTGAGTTCCAGGCCAGCTGGGGCTACAGGGAGACCCTGTCTCAAAAAGACAAACAAAAGAAGCAAAGGCAGAAAGGTGTTAGGAAGAATCAATGGGGAAAGTTTGGATTTTGTTGTTTTTTTTTTTTTGGTGCTACATGATGCACATACTCTATAGCTGGATAGACATATCTTCAAATTATTATAGAATCTTATGAGGGTAGAGACATGACTTCACTGTTCCTTTCTTTTAATAATTAGTTTTTTGTTGAAAACAACACTGATTAAAACCAAATTCTTTCTAGGTTGATTTTTATTTCATGCTAGTGAGACCTGCCTTAGGAGGAAAGAATTCACAGTCCCAGAAGCACATGCTATCACTTCCTCACTCACATTCTTAGCTCTTTCCTCTATCTGTGCATCCCTGTGTTGGGATTAAAGGTGAGCACCACCACGCCCGGCTTTATCTGTGTATCTTTTTTTTTTTGTCTTTTTTGAGACAGGGTCTCCCTGTAGCCCCAGCTGTCCTGGAACTCACTATGTAGACCAGGCTGGCCTTGAACTCACAGAAATCCAACTGCCTCTGCCTCACAAGTGCTGGGATTAAAGGCGTGCGCCACCAAGCATGGCTATCTGTGTGTCTTAAAAATGATGCTAGGAGTGGCTTTGAGCCTAGCAGACTCTCACTTCTCTAACTACAATGCATATTTCCTCACCTCTTCAGTAACTTCTCTTCCCCATTCTTTCCCATACTAGCATCTGCCTGGTTTTCAGTAAAGGGCACTGGTACCAAGAGAGGAAGGCTATGTCGAGTATGGGAAAGAAAACCACCACCAGTGCAGCTGATATTCTCCCAGGTGGTGATCAGGAAAGAAACTATACTTTTTGGCTGTGTATATGAAAATGATTTTCATACATAAGAACACTATTCTTATTTGATAAAAGTTTTGGATAGTTTCATGGAGCAAAAAATAAAGAAGGAAGAAAAAAAATGAGGGAATTCACTGACTTCTAAATTTGCATGTTTTATTAACTAAGTAAGCAAGCGACTAGAGGAAGTAGGAACCAGCAAGTGCCTTGTAATGGCTTCATCATGGTAATTAAGCAGTGACTGAGAGCTATAATTACCTGGATATGCATTTTAATAATTGCTTTTCCAATCAGGGTTGCCCCAAAGAAGGTCCAAAAAGGTACAAGAAAGTGTCCACATGTTATTCCAGCTAGATCAAATAGAGGATTTGGAATCTGTCAAGGAAAAAAAAAAAAGAACTTGATACATAACTCAAAGAAAATTTTAATTTTACGGCCCACTGGTATGTGATATTCTGCTTTAACCTAGTCAATGTATGACAACTGTTCAGAAGACTACATAAGAATTCCAATGCGTCTCTAGGCTAGAACTCATATTCATCTTGTGATTTTGCTATTCAATACACTCAGAGAACCAAGCTGTCTGTACCCCATACACATATTTTTCCACACAAGAAATGGATAAAGCCCATGGATCTGCAGAAATTTAATTCCTTTCAGGAGACTTCTGATCATTTGGTGACTGTTTTCTATGGTAAGGTATGAGTGAAATTTTAATTTATTTGAATTGTAAGTAAGCTCTTTTACCTGAAACATGAATGTCATCTAGAAGTGCTCATATCTTTAGTGAACATTCTAGTAACCCACAGTCATACGTATAGATGGATGTTTTCAACATTTAAAAACTCATTATTTGTTGGTGGCACATGCCTGTAATTTCTTGTTTGTTTGTTTGTTTTTTGGTTTTTTGAGACAGGGCTTCCCTGCAGCCCCAGCTGGCCTGGAACTCACTATGTGGACTGGCTGGCCTTGAACTCACAGAGATCCACCTGCCTCTGCCTCCCTAGTGCTGGGACTAAAGGTGTGTGGCACCATGCCTGGCTCATGCCTGTAATTTCTTTTTTTATTTTATTTATTTATTTTTATTTTATGTGTATGAATGTATTGCCTGTATGTAGGTAAGTGTACCAGTGTTGTGTAATGCCCGCAGAGGACAGAAGAAGCTGTCGGATCCCCTGGAACTGGAGTTACGGACAGTTGTTAGCTGCCATGTGGGTGCTGGGATTTGAACTCCGGTCTTCTGCAAGAACAGCCAGTGTTCCTAACTGCTGAGCCATCTCTCCAGCCCCCTCATGCCTGTAATTTTAAGATATGGCAAGTGAAGTTAGGAGGATCAGGAGTTCATGGTCATCTTCCACTATATAGTGGGTTCAAGTTCAGACTAGACTAAAGGAGATCCTGTCTCAAAAATAATTTATTATTTGCATTTCATTTTAAGAAAGCCACGGCTGTGGGCATGTGACATATTTTAGAAAGAAGATCAAGGGTAGAAATACGAAAATGCACCAATTCAGATGTTTTGAATACTCTGTCCTAGACAAAGAAGTGATTCACAAATACCTTTCCCAAACATTCCCACATTTTAAGAATGCTAAAAACCAATTTCATGTAAAAATGCAGAGACCACAACTGTTTCTGAGTACTTCATCTATTTCTCTCCCACTGAAGTATGCTAGCCTTGTGGCTGTTGGCTGAGCCATTTATGAGCCAATTAATTTATATAGTTTTATTTTTGAACTCTGAAAGAAAAGCCTAGTTGTTTATTAAAAAATATTTGTCACATATGGTCCTTTAAACATTGCCATGACTAAATTAGGATTTGAGTATGCTTTTGTTAGTAACACATGGATTCAATAACTTATTTTTGTTTTTCTCATCTAAATTCAAATGCCTTATGCAATATCTTCTCTTACAACATATTCAAGCATATACAAAATTACATCTGCCATACCTTACATTTCCCCTTTTAGTCTCAAAATTTTATGAATTACAATTTTTTTCTTTATTTTCATGCCCCAATCCACATACAATGGAAATAAGTTAAAGTATACAACACAGAAAAATTATAATTTGTTAGCCAGGTGTGGTGGCGCATGCCTTTAATCCTAGCACTCAGGAGGCAGAGCAGGCAGATCTCTGTGAGTTCCATACCAGCCAGGGCTATAAAGGTAAGCCCCTGTCTCAAATAAAACAACAAAAACCCAAAGAATAAAGATAATGATCTTCATTAAGTAAAAGGTACTTGCATTTTCCCCAGGAATAGTGAGGGTTAACATTCACTTATACCATTCTAAGGGGGTTACATAACCAACACCCTACCCTACAATAATGTGTGACATTATACTTACTTTGCAGAGGAAAACTGTATCCATATTCTAGCATAGAATGGATGAAGTATCTATCAGTAGACACTGATTTCTGTCAATTTTATTTATCATAACAGCTTATAACATTTCAATCAATCTAGCAAAATTTATCACTGAACTACCAGTAGCAGTGTATGAGCCACCAAAGAAAACTTTATTTATTTATTTATTTATTGATTGATTGATTGGTCTTTTTGAGACAGGGTCTCCCTGTAGCCCCAGCTGTCCTGGAACTCACTATGTAGACCAGGCTGGCCTTAAACTCACAGAGATTCGCCTGCTTCTGCCTCCTGAGTGCTGGGATTAAAGGCATGCACCACCATGCCTGGTGATTTATTTATTTTTATTTTATGTGTGTAAGTGTTTTGACTGCATGTATGTAAGTGTACCTATGTCATGCAATACCTATAGAGGTGAGAGGGTGTCAGATCCCCTAAAACTGGAGGTATGGATGGTTGCTAGCCACCATATGGGTGCTGGGAACCAAACCCCAATATTCTGCAAGAACAGCCAGTGTTCTTACTTTTGAGCCATCTCTCCAGCCCCCAAAGAAAACTTTGATTAGAGTGCCCATCTCTTCTTTTTCTTCAGAAGGGATAGGGCTGGGTATGGTGGTGCATACCTTTAATCCCAGCACTCAGGAGGCAAAGTCTGGTAGATTTCTGTGATCGATGCCAACCTGTCTACATAGTCAGTTCCAGGCCAGTTTGGAGGTACAGGGAGACCATCTCACAAAAACAAAGCCGCTGGGTATGGTGGCACATACCTTAAATCCCAGCACTTGGGAAGCAGAGGCAGGTGGATCTTTGTGAGTTCAAGGCCAGCGTGGTCTACATAGTGAGTTCCAGGACAGCTGGGGATACAGGGAGACCCTGTCTCAAAAAGACTAAAACAAAAACCCCCAAACCAAACCAAACCAACCCAACCCAACCCAGGTTAGGGTCTTACTCATAGTTCAGGGTGGCATGGAACTCACATATATGTAGTCAAGACTTCTCTAATTTAGTGGTACTCTTCCTGTCTCAGTCTCCTCAATGCTGAGATTATAGGCATGAATCACCATGTTCAGCTCAAAGTGTTCATCTTAAAGTAAATTTTTAGGGCTGGTGAGATAACTCAGCAGGAAAAAGACTTCCTGCATAAACCTGACAACCTGAGTTTGATTCCCAGAACCCATGGTGGAAGGAGGGAAATGGTTCCACAAAATTGTCCAGACTGGGGCTGGAGAGATGGCCCAGCAGTTAAGAGCACTGGCTGTTCTTGCAGAGGACCCAGGTTCAATTCCCAGTACCCACATGGTGGCTAACAAATGTCAGTAACTTCCCTATTCCAGGGGAATCCAACACCCTCTTCTGACATCCACAGGAATTGCATGACATGGGTGCACTTACATACATACAAGCAGTACACCTTAAAAAAAAAAGTCTCCAGACTTTTATATGCATGCCACGACATACGTGTGCCTGGACACACACACACACACACACACACACTGATATATACAAAAATAAAAAGTTATTTTTTTTTTTAGAAGGGCTGAAGAGATGGCTCAGTGGTTAAGAGCACCAGCTGTTCTTGTAAAGGACCTGGGTTCAGTTCCCAGCACCCATATGGCACTAACAACCATCTGTAACTCCAGTTCCAAGGGATCCCAGGCCCTCTTTTTATTTCCATGGGCACTGCATGACATGAGTGCACTTACATACATGCATACACATAAAATAAAAATAAACTTTAAAAGATTTTAGGTCAGGTGTGGTGGCACATGCCTTTAGTTCCAGCATTCTGGAGGCAGAGGCAGGCAGATCTCTGTGAGTTCGAGGCTAGCCTGGTCTACATAGTGAGTTCCAAGACAGCTGGGGGTACAGGGAGACCCTGTCTCAGTAAGACCAAAAAGAAAAATTTTTTTTTTCGACCTGAGCATGGTTGTACATGCTTGAAATCCCAGCACTGGGAGGCAGAGGCAGGAGAACAAGAGATAGCAGGTTTGAGGCCATACTGCCCTACACAAGACCCTGTCTCAAAACCAGAGCCAAGCAAAACAAAATATAACTGGACAAAACATAACAAAAAATTTTTATTTTGTAAGAAAAGGATGAGGATAAGTACTAACATAATAAGGAACATCAATTTTTTTTTTTTTAAATGAAGATATTAGCCAGGCGTGGTGGCGCACGCCTGTAGTCCCAGCACTTGGGAGGCAGAGGCAGGCGGATCTCTGTGAGTTCAAGGCCAGCCTGGTCTACATGGTAAGTTCCAGGACAGCTGGGGCTTACAGGGAGACCCTGCTTCAAAAAGACAGAAAAAAAAAAAGAAGAAGATATTTAAGGCCTTACGTTTTAGACAAGATTAGCTGCTTAGTTCATTGTGGAAAAGGATATCCATTTATATTTATATAACATAGACAGGTGTTAAAATCACTTGAGACAGGTTTTATGTGTATTCTTCCCATTACTAATACTTGAAACTCTGGAAAGACTTCTTATCTAGAACTTTGTGGAAAAAATGAAGTCAACATTGTGTGGTAAATTTTACTTCATTATAAAATCTTCATAGGAATACTAGATTTTTTTTTATTCTTGCTGAATCAAGCCTTTTCAGTCTCAAGCTATCATTGTGTGATAAAATACTTGAAGTCAATATATAAGATTGTGAATCTATCCAACCCAAATCATTTCAATGTAAGAATGACTCACAAAATTTATATTCAATAAAAGTGATAGCAGCCAGGAATGGAGGCACACACCTTTAATTCCAGCACTCAGGAGGCAGAGGCAGCTAGATCGCTGAGAATTCCAGGCCAGCCTGGTCTACATAGTGAGTTCCAGGCTAGCCCAGACTGTATAGAGACCCTGACTTGGAAAGAAAAAAAAAGTGATAGCATTGTTGATCATTCAGGAGTATATGTCTAAAATCAAATTGGATCAAAATATATTCCTAATATTTAGTGAAATTTCTAACTTTAAATATAAATTCACTTACAGAAGCACAGGCCAAAATTCCAAAAAATCCAACCTTTTGAACTAGGTTTTGAACTGCCAGTTTAGCCCGTGATGCAAAGTCCTGTGGAAAGAAAGATTTTAAAATATTAATGAAAAGTACGGAGCCAGACGTGTTGAGGGAAGGAATATGGAAAGACAACTCTTGTTTAAAAAAAAAAAATTTTGGTGAGAGAGAGAGAGAAAAAGAGAGAGATCACACACATGCCATTGCCCATATATGCAGATGGTTCCCTCCTTCCACCAGATGGGTTCTGGGTCTCAAACTCAGGTTATCAGACTTAGAGGCAAGCACCTTTACCCACTGAGCCATCTTGCTGACCCAGAAAGCCAATTCTTTACGAGTTTATTGTATTACATATCTTACAATCTGATAGCAATTACTGTTCCTTGTATACAAGGTCCTGCTTTGCAGTACAGGCAGACCTTGAACATCTTTGTCAGCTTCCCTAGGATGATAGGTATGTACCATAACAACAGGCTCATACTGATTCATTTAGTGAGCAACAGGAATGATTACCACATGTAAGAACAAGCCAATATACGATCACTATATTTTTAGGATTCTCCCTGGATCTTCTAGAGATTATCAAAATATTATAAAACACCATGAATGTTGGAAACCAACTCATTCTGTTGGAAATACTGGCCTACCCTCTTTTTCTTTTCCCTTCTATAATTTGCCAGACCTAATCTCCAATTAATAGCATGGTAGAAGATCAAGATTTTTCAAGATAATGAAGACACTTCTGCCTAGATTAGCTGGAAAAGGGAAAACAGAGGTTATACAGCAATAACCAAGCATTCAGTAAATGAAAAACAAAACTATACCCTACATCTGCAGCTTCTGCTAGTTGTACAAAGTGCCTTCACAAACTTTTTATCTGTGACTTCAATTTTGGGGTATAGGAGCAAAGAATTATATAATTATATTCAACCTGCAGACTACAACCTACATATCACAATCTGTAGTCCATAAGGGTTAAGCCTTCAAAATGTAAAGTTAGGCTGGATGTGGTGGCACATGCCTTTAATCCTAGCACTCAAAAAACAAACAAAAACTCCCTTCTTTTTGAGACAGGGTCTCACTATGTAGTCCCAGCTTGCCTGGACCTCATTGTGTTCACCAGGTTGAACTGGATCTCACAGAGATCTACCTGCCTCTGCCTCCTGAGTGCTGGGATTAAAGGCATGCACCACCATGCCTGACTTCCTTTCTTTCTAAAGATTAATTTTTATTATTTTAAATAATGCATCTGTGTATGGTATGTGCCCATGAGTGCAGGTGGAGACGAGACAGATGCACTGGATCCCCCCGAAGTTGGGAACAGAATCCAGGTCCTCTGTAAGAACGGTACACTCTCAACCACTAAAAAATTATTTCTCTCCTTGGAAATAGCAGTGTTCAATTTGTCTCTATTTCTTTTTCAATTGAAGATACCATATGTTCTAATGCAAATTCCAAAAACTTAGTTAATATAAAAAATTGCTAACATTTAAAGTTGAAGTCACAGAAATTCTTTCACCTCAATGATCTTATAGAAAGGTCAGAATTTAGAAGCTAGAAGGATACTTCACAGAACAGAAAACAGATTTAAATCCTGTAAGTCAAACTACTTGAAAATACACATCCCTAATATACACAGAATTAATATACTCACACTTAAAAAGTTACTTTGACAGATACTACTATGTAGAATAGGCCTACCAAGTTACCACAATAGTTAATACTGAAATGAATAAAAACTTTTTCCCTACTTGCTGAGGATAGTGAGAAAAATTAAAAGGAATTAAATAACTTTAACAAAAAATTATTTTTATTTTATGTGTATGAGTGTAATGCCTGCATGTATATGAGTGCACCAGTGTCGTGCAATGCCCGTGGAAGTCAGAAGAGGGTGTTGGATTCCCCAGGAACTGGAGTTAAGGATGGTTAGTAGCCGCCATGTGGGTGCTGGGAATCGAATCTGGGTCCTCTGCAAGAGCAGTCAGTGCTCTTAACCACTAAGCCATCTCTGTAGCACTGGAATTAAGTAACTTATATTTACAAAGAGATTACTAATCACTACAGATATTTTATTTTATTTATCTTTTTGAGGCAGGGTCTCCCTGTAGACCCAGCTGACCTGGAACTCACTATGTAGACCAGGCTGGCCTTGAACTCACACAGATCCACCTCCCTCTCCTCCCAAGTGCTGGGATTAAAGGAATACACCACCACACCCAGCCTCACTACAGATATTTTAAAATTCAAATATATAAGCTCTCAAAGTTGATCATCAGTAAAATTCTACATGAAAATTTTGAAATTTTAAAATTTGCTTCCCAAGTGAGAAATAATTTTTTTCTTTTGAGATTATGCTTAATTTTCCAGTATTTACACCAGATATAATTTTTTTTTAAAGACAGGGTCTTATGTACCTCAGGTGGCCTTGAATTTGCTATGTAGCTAAGGATGACCTTGAATTTCTGAATGTTCTGCCAGAAATCCTTCATTTTTTTGTTCTTTTCTTTTTTGGTCTTTTTGAGACAGGGTCTCCCTGCAGCCCCAGCTGCCCTAGAACTCACTATGTAGACCAGGCTGGCCTTGAACTCACAGAGATCTGCCTGCCTCTGCCTCCTGAGTGCTGGGATTAAAGGCGTGTATCACCACTCCAGCTATCCTTCAGTTTTTTGATTACAGGTGTGTGTGTGCCTCTACGCCTGATTTGTGCCCTGCTGGAGCACAAACCTAGGGCTTGATGCATGTTGGACAAATACTTTACCAGATGAGCCAGATACCCAGCCCCAGTGTGACATTTCCTTTACTTTTTATTTTATTTTATGTATATGAGTGTATTGCCTGCATGTAAGTGTACCCATGTCATGCAATGCCCATGGAGGCCAGAAGAAGGCATCAGATTCCCTGGAACTGGAGCTATAGATAGTTGTTAACCATCATGTGGGTGTTGGGAATCAAACCTGGGTCCTCTGCAAGAGCAGTTAGTGCTCTTAACCACAGAGCCATCTCTCCAGCCCCAAGTGCTCTTAACCACTGAGTCATCTCTCTACCCTTCCAGTGTGACATTTCAATACTTGTGTACCATACGTAATGATCAGATCATGGTAACTGGCATAACTATCACCCTATTTATCACTTCTGTGTTTAGAAGATTAAAAATCTTTCCTACTAGCTATTTTTAAAAATATTTTATTTATTATTTTTATTTTACGTGTATGAGCGTTATGCCTGCATGTAGGTAAGTGCACCTGTGTCGTGCAATGCCTACGGAGGACAGAAGAGGCTGTTGGATCCCCTGGAACTGGAGGTTACGGAAAGTTGTTAGCTGTCATGTGGGTGCTGGGATTCGAACCCGGGTCTTCTGCAAGAACAGTCAGTATTCTTAACCACTGAGCCATCTCTCCAGACCCCCTACTAGCTATTATGAAATACTCAATTTGTGTCAACAATTTCTCCTGCTATGCTAAGTTTGGAAGCTATCCTCTTACCCATCCCTGGACCTGTCAGCCATCATCTCTCCATCACTCCCTCCAATGCCCTCCAAGGCTCCTGTAATCGTAGTCACTATTCTGTACTTCCATCAGCTTCTTAGCTTCCACATATATGTGACAACAAGTGGTGTCTATCTTTTAGTACCTGAATTAGTCCATTTAACATAATGTGCTGTAGCTCCATCCATACTGCTGCAAACAACAAAATTACATTCTTTTCTATGGCTGAACAATGTTTCATCACACAAACACACACACACACACACACACACACACACACACGCACACACTTTTCTCTTTGGTGTAGACAAGATCAACAAGAGAATAGTATTTAGAGGTCAGGAGTCCCATTTTAGCTTCATTTTAAGGTTTTAGGTTGAATCTTACATTAATTTAAGTCGAGTGTCATCATTTCATAAGGATTTCATAAGTATGGCTTTTTCTAATACATAGATATATACACATACACACAAATTAAGTTGGAAAAGAGATGTGATTATACCAATTAGTTTATATGAAGAAAAGTGATTAAACATTATACAGATCACCTATTATACTCATACTGGCCTATCATACCTAAATTATTCTCTTTCTGTCTAAAAACATGTGTATTTGTCTCTATGCATGTTCAAAGATGATTTTTTGGAGGTGGGGATGGGGTCATGCTGTGTTGCTATTCCCCAAGCCTCCTAAATAGCTGGGAATTACAGGCATGTACTCCTGGCAGGAAACAGATTATTTTGGTTTCTCTCTTTAAAGCAAAAGTTCTGAGCCTGGCGTGGTGGCGCACGCCTTTAATCCCAGCAGCTGGGAGGCAGAGGCAGGCGGATCTCTGTGAGTTCAAGGCCAGCCTGGTCTACATAGCGAGTTCCAGGACAACTGGGGCTACAGAGAGACCTGGTCTCCAAAAGACCAAAAAAAATTTTTTTTTTTTGCTGGGCATGGTGGTTCATGCCTTTAATCTCAGCGCTTGGGAGGCAGAGGCAGGCGGATCTCTGTGAGTTCAAGGCCAGCTGGGGCTACAGGGAGACCCTGTCTCAAAAAGGCCAAAAATAAAAAAAAAAATTTTTTTTATGCCAGGCATGGTGGCACATGCCTTTAATCCCAGCACTTGAAAGGCAGAGGCAGGTGGATCTCTGTGAGATTGAGGCCAGCCTGGTTTACACAGCAAGTTCCAGGCCATTTGGGGCTACAAGGAGACCCTGTCTCAAGCAGGCCCCCACAAAATGTTTTATTTATTATTTTTTATTTTATTTATTTTCATTTTTTGTGTATGTGTGTATTGCCTGCATGTATGTGAGTGGCACCCGTGTCCTGCAATGCTGCGGAGGTCAGAAGAGGGCGTTGGACTGCCCTGGAACTGGAGTTAAGGACCATTCAGAGCTGATATGTGGGTGCTGGGAATCAAACCCCGGTCTTCTGCAAGAGCAGTCAGTGCTCTTAACTGCTTGGGCCATCTCTCCAGCCCCAACATTTTATTTTAAAGGAAATTTTCTTTTTTTTTTGGTCTTTTTGAGACAGGGTCTCCCTGTCGCCCCAGCTGTCCTGGAACTCACTATGTAGACCAGGCTG